CCCTCTCTCTCCCTCCCTGTTATTACAAGCCAGATATGACTCTCTCTCTATGCGGTTATGATATCCACATGAACTCAGTAATTCGTCATGACCCTTGAGAGGGCATAACGCTAAGACAAAGAAACACAAAACTAAGATRAAAACTTCAAAGGAAAAGGAAAGAAAAGCTAAAAAAGAAACCAATACACAATAGCTCCAAGCCGACCAAAACYGGAACAAAAATAAAGAAAAAGAAAAAGAAGTTTATGGGTTTCCTGTGTATTAGCCCGCATGCTTTGCGTACAGCAGTATCACTTCCCCCACAATGCATCAGGATCCCGTTGTTCTTTCTCTTTTAGTGACACGACATCATAAAGTCCAATTCAAAGGAAAAAACTGGTAAGAAAAACTAGACTTTTTTTATCTCTAAGTGCTTTCCTTATCCTTCAATAGTTGAACAGAAGAACCCTTAATCCTTCTTTTATTAACTTGTAGATACGAAACGTTAAAATGGACCAGATATCTAACGCTCTTGAGCCTTGTAAGCAGTTTGCCAAGGATTCTCTTCGACTCGTCAAGAGATGCACTAAGCCTGATAGAAAAGGTAATAACTGAAGATACGAATGTATAATAATATTAACAACATATTTTCGACAGGATGGCCATTTTAGTTATGAAAACTGCTATCAATATGGGTCCTAACATATAGGTATCTCCTAGTCTGATCTATATGACGTGTTTTATAAAACATTTTATGACGATCAGTTTAAACAGTTGAAAATGGCCAAGAAAGACCTATGCAATTTTTTTATGTGTGTTATATAATATTTTTTGAGATGAATACGATGGCTAGATCCTTAAAGAGTTTTAAATGAACTCGGATAAAATCATTCTTTTGTTTGTATCTTAGTTCTTTCATGATTAACTTCACATATCCCCTAAGCAACCTGTGTGCAAATATCATCTCTAGGTGATCTGAAATGATGATGTTAATGCAAATTGTTGTGTCAGGGTGGGTACAAAACCTGGACCCCACGTCCATGGACCACCTAATAGGCCTAAAAATGATAATAATAAAGAATAAATAAAAAAAATGGCACATTATGTGTTTTTATTRTACTTTACCTTCATGACAACTGTTTGTTCTCAAGCCATTCTCGGTCTGCCTAAAGTCAATGCGGTATACTGAACAGACATAACTTCTTTTATTGTTTAAAGCATGGTTAAAGCTTTCACTGTCATTCTTTGATTTAAATACATTTATTTAAATATAAAATATATTTAATTATATCATTTGCAGCGATTAAAAAACAGGCCATATGGTATCGCTACCGACAGCATTTTGTTCAACACAACACAGGAAGCTAATCAAGATACACATCCGTAAATATGGGAGCCCTGTGTTGAACAAAATGAATAGTTAACTACATACATATTTTTAGAATAACAAGACAAACATTATTTTCTCAGATCAGCTGGCTATAGTTTCCCCTAGATTCCCTAACTGGTACTGGAAGAACTAGTAGGAACTGTATAAAATGTTATTTCTTTTGATTGATTGTTTTAGTGGTTWAAAATTTTTTTTACTATTCTTTTATCTACAGAATTCCAGAAGATTGCCCTGGCCACAGCTATTGGGTTTGCTATCATGGGATTCATTGGTTTCTTTGTCAAATTGATTCACATTCCTATTAACAACATCATTGTACAATAATAGGTATGTCTTCATTTGTTATTCAATATTAATRTGCMAACTAAAGCTTTATTAGCTACTAAAACAAAGAGATGTTCTGTTTTAATGTTATGCAAATCGATATAAAACATATTCTGGTGGCCATATATTTAAACTGTGTATATTGCTATTCTTCATTTGCAYGTTATGTTGGCTCCCTCTGGGTAAAAGACATAGCCACAAATTTTGAAGCATGGCGTGTATTACGTCACTTCGTTTGAATCACTAAAAGTTGGCAGGAACGCAATTTGCTTAATAGCGGACTCAAAGGTCCAAACTTTACTGGCTAAATACAATATCATCCCAGTCTCGCATCGAAAAAGAATTTGGACAGTAAACTATATTACATGTCTAGTTTTATATGGTACAATTTCCAGGGATGGGGTCATTTTCGTACGACTAGCACTTTAAAGCCTAGTAGGAGCTCATCCAATCAGAATGCAGCATTGATGATAGACTACTGAGTTGGATTTGACTAATCTCTATTGGTAAAAATCTACTAAATCTACTCCKGTACTCTGATTGGCTGAGCTTCTAATGGTCYATTAGTGATAGAMCACTAATAGCAATAAGTACCAGTTTTGAAAACCAAAAAAAAAAGAAGAAGATAATAAATAAATTCTTTTAACATAATCTCATAATCATTTCATTTAAATTTTCAATTTAAAATAATTAACCTTTAAAAACTTTTTTTCCCTTTTCAGAGCCAAGAAAACGATCTCAGGAATTCTTATAAAAATATCATTTTTTACAATCTGTATTAGCATTTATTGTATTATATTTAATGGTTTTAGAATATAAACTCACATACTAAGAATGGATGAATTAATGGTTATATGATACTGTAACTAGTGCTAATGAAGGAGCTTCGCTGAATCTCTCGTCACATTTATGTCACTACGTGTTATTTTGCTTCTTTAACATTGCTATTAAAAAGATATAATATAGGAATTGTTGTTTATTGTTTCTTCAGTTCCTTCATACCTKAATGGTATTAGATTATGACTAATAAAACATATCTGCAAGATGTATTTGGGAAAAAGTTAAGGTATCAGGAGGAGAAAATGGGAAGATTATGTGGGGAAGGAGTAAGAAAAGGAACTTYGATAACATACATAACACTGCTTATTAAGAAAAACCATCAAAAAAAGGGAATGTTAGAAATTGTGTTATCTTTTTCTTCTTCTTTTTTCTCTCGCTTTCCCTCAGTTTTTCTTTATTTTCTATTTATCTTTCATCCAGGTTTCGTATTTTAATAACTGATATAACTCGACGAACAACTACGAAAATGTAGCTTTARTCAGAAGTGGTCAGAAATCTCTTGAAAGTTCGAATTGTAGCAATCTTAGAACTAGTYATGTGACGACTGCTGTGCTGTAAGTTGCATGAGATATTTGAAGAAAATTTAGCAAAATCTCTACTGTATAATATTTGAATTATTTAAGAATTGCCGTATTCAAGTGAAGTGACAATACGAGCAACTATGGTGCTCGACACAATGTTTATCTTGACACACTTGTGGAAAGTGTTYGATGCCTTCGCAGAATGTAACAAATACAAAAAGCAGTGCTCGCCTCGTGCTCCTGCTACCATGACAAGCAATAATGCAGCCCTCTTGGAGTTACCCTGCCGGCTTTACCAGGACTTTTTGAAAGCTCGAACAAATTTGAACCCGGTAATTCATGAAACTTGACCATGGAAAACAATTGCAACGAAAGACTGGTACCAGGACTGGACWGGTACATAGTTCTTCCATTGATAAAGACGTTATTAAGTGTAAGGAACTGCAATGACTTGTAATAAACCTTCTAAAGGTTCTTCAGTTGACCGCAACAAAGGCCCATGTTCAGTTTGAACAAGACATGACAGTGTGTGACAACGAATACTTCGAATACCGACGCAGTCCAATTGAATAGCTTCCTTCAAATGAAGGACATACGTAGCTGGACTGATGTGATCATGTTACTTYCTTTCTTTACTGGAAGCCAATTGTTCCTTCATCAGTCACGCTATTTATGACAAAATAACATTAAACATCTGAACGTTTYCTCAGATGAACACAGTTTATGCATTAACTTGGAAATAAAGCTTAAGTCTTCATGTCCGAGCCAACGTTTGTCTCTTTTATGGCTTTTAGTGATTTGTGGGTGTTGATACAYATAAAAGTCTACTGGATTTGGAGTAATATGTTACACGTTACCGTGTGAGAGGACGTCCCGCGCGACGAGAACGACTGTCATTCAACTGGCCAGACGACAAAGGGTCCATGAGGCATTGTGCAGTAATTTAATACCAGCGAATTTGTATAGGTTACAGAGTCTGGGTGTGATACGTATTTTAGGACCAGCATTAATTTACTGTCTAGCACGCATTGCCGGGGAAAGGCGAGAGAATTTGCAGCGTACAGAACCTTCATGCTTCAGCCCTGAACACACAACTGGGTTGAAAAGATGGGGTTCAGCTTCTCATGGATCGCCGTTTCCCTTTGTGTTGCTGCATGGGTCGTATCTACATCGGGACAAGGTAAACTCTAGTGTTGCTTATTAGATAAATCTATTGCAAGGCATTCTTCGATTGGAAACCACAATATGATCCGCTGTTGTAGCCATACTTAAAATCATTAACATCTCATAAATTTTRCCTATGTTCTAACTTCAGCAGTCGGTCGTTTACAGTAAGACTTTTTTGAATGAATGTAAATGCATGTTCCATAGTAAACCTTGGACTAAATTCTCTTGAAGGTTGCAGTGGAGTGTTTGAAAGAGCTCATTGTTCGTGGTACAGTGACACGGGTCGTACTGGTGAAATACCTAAATCCCGAACCATAAACTCCATGTAGTAAACATAATCTATTCATTTCTGCAAATTAATGTTTATCGATTTAWTTTAGGTTATTTACAAAAGTATAACACGAGTGCATAACTTTAAGGTGTATGTCTTAGTATGATAAATAATGCCTTTATTGTATTGTCTGTTAATGCCAGTATATTACTTGTGGCTAAGCGCATCGATTGATATCAATCTTRGTAAAGTTACTGGAAATACAAAAGAGCACATAACTGTAAGCTCTATTTCTGCAAAATCGGTTTGTCTAAGTAMTGTTCTGACTAATCGCCGTTTGGTTATGCTTGCAAGCTATACTCTAAGTTATGAAGAAATGGTTTGATATCGTGTTACAAGGCACATCCTTTCTGTCGGATAACATTCAATGCATCRAATAAAGCCTATACTTTGATACCYTTCCAGCAGCACCAGGGTAGTTGTGATATTGTTCTGCTGTTTGACAGACAGTTTTTCTTCGCTTATAGTATGTAAAATGTTAAAKTTAAAACTTGGTAAGCCGAGACCAAAAATGTGTCGTACAGACCGGACAAATACTCTTCTTGACGCCAACAAAACCTTTAATAAAATGTAGAAAAAGGGAGAATTCTTCGTTTGCACGTGACGTCATAGAGCAAAAAAATAACAACTTAAAATTAATTATGAATGCTATTTACTTGATTCTTCRATATGTTTTAGAGAACTTTGATGTGACTAAGTGTAGGAAATTTCAGATCGTATCTTATTTTGTGATCGGTAATCCTCACCTTACGCTCAATATGTGTCTGAAAAGTCAAAGAAATACAGATATTTTTGCCAAAGCAAAATTTTTGGTACATGTTTGAAGTGAATTTGATGAATTTTTGTCATTAAATATTTTTTTWAAATTTGGCCGCCATGTTGGATGATACTAGATATCATCCAGCGAGTTTTCGCTATACATTTACACTAAAATATCGGTAACTTCGTTCGCTCATAGCTCGTTTAAGAAATTCTCTAATGCTCCATATTTTTTGCTCAGAGTTGTATTATAAGTAGCTCTACATGGTCATAAGGATTGTATTTTGGTTGGARCCAAAAAAATACTTTAGCACCAGCAAAATACACGTGGTTGCAAACGAAGAATAGAATGAGAATGAACTAAGTAAAGTACTTTGTAACTGATATCATTAAAGTTTGCCTGCAAAATACGTAGGAGTATTGGCAGCACAGACTACGCCATTGGATAGCTTGATTTTCTTGAAACGTTAACTGTGTTACATACACAAAGCGCTAAACGAAAAAAAGCTTCATTTGGTAATCAATAAACAGAGATATTAATGTTTCATCAAGCTAATCGTTTTCTGGGACCAAAGAAATTCGAATCCAGGCGCGATTGTTTTCCAAGAAAAATTACCTTGACGAAACATAAATAATTTACAAATGTAATAATTTACTAAGCACCCAATAGATGTCTTATGTAAAAAACAACTGGATGTTCTACATTATGTATATTATGTATCACTCATAGAATATGGTAAATCAGTCAATGATGATCATTGATGAGTACGTGAAAAAAAGAAATGCAGTCATAACGAGAAAACATTTTGAAATAGATAGATAGTTCTGTAATGTAGCCTTTGCTCTTGTAAATTGTCTCGACCGACTAGACTGCCTTATTGTTACAACACTRATATTTTTTGCGCGTCAAATTTCAACATTTTTTTGAAATCTAAAAGATTTTAAGCTAACTTTTGAAGTGTGAAATTTAATTAATGAAGTTTTCAATTTCATATTAATTATGAATGAAATATAATGATGGCGTGACTAGCTGTGGCATAGATAAACTAGATGCACGAATGGAGGCAGGTATGAGGTTTCAAGTGAAAGAACTCTTTCACGATATTTGATATTCGGGTTAGTCTTTCAAACTGTTTATTGTTAATATCAGACCGGTATATTTCTTCGCTAAAATCATATCATAAAAATGTTGAATATATGTCGGTTTTTTCTTCTTCTCCGACAAGAATCGTAACATTGGTATATGCCAGTACTTTAACGWAATTTGCTCAGTTCGGGAAAGAAACTCAGCAGCAGTCGTGCACTAATCTTCGATGTTTTCCTTCTTTTTCAGTACCCCAAATTCTTGATCCGGTATGTAGCATGCAATATGGTTTATATCACTCATATGTTTTACATACATGACTTTTTAAAATTACCACCATTATTTGGACCAATATATATTTGCKTATTTTTGCAGTCATTAAAAGGAGAAAAAGGAGAGAAAGGAAGAACTGGTCCACCAGTAAGTTGCCGTACTCTTGTGTTGTCGGCGGTGATTCATAGTGAAAATAAAGACTAGTGACACTAGATCATTATCAGATAGCTAAGTAAAAAGCCTGCTTTAAAGCGAAATGTTAGTAATAGTAGAGTGCTGAACCTAGCCTGGATAGTTTCAAACCTATAGACTTGAGGACCCTGCCCACAAATATATATACAAAAGAGGTATGCTGAAATGCGCGCTGTCAAACTGAATCYTAACCAAAAAGAAATATTGATTATTGTTTTCTTTTTAGGGTAGTCCTGGTCGTCCTGGAGCTAAAGGCAATCCAGGCGATCCTGGTATTGCCGGTGAAGATGTAAGTCAATATCATTAAGTGGTAACCTGTTCTTAGGGCTGTCTCCGGCCCGGCACTTTTCTTTTGTTTTGCCAATTAAAGGCTACATTAACAMTGAATCTTACTATGTTGACAGGGAGGCCCAGGAATCAATGGACCTCCTGGTGTACGTGGAGATATTGGTCCCCCAGGATTACCGGGTAGGCCTTTCATTAGGCGTGTAGGAATCCCCGGTAAACCGGTAGGTATTCARTCTCCACTTATCTGATCTTGGTTTTATTTCATTAAAGTGTTATATGCGGTTTTTCTTCTCATTCTAGGGTAGCCGAGGGGCTCGGGGAAAGAATGGTCTTCCAGGACCCGAGGGTCTKCCCGGTGAACCAGGAGAACCAGGTGCCCAGGGAGTTCGTGGAGAGCCGGTGAGTAGCGGGTAATTGTTACCTGCGTATGTGATAGTGGGCTGGAACTAAAAGTTATAACTACACATTGAACACATTAAAAACGTTTCTTACTTGTAATATGCTTTAGGGTGATGCCGGTGAACAAGGACCGCCTGGTAAAGAAGGTCGAACGGGTAAAAATGTAAGTACCTTCCATGGAAACAACTAAAAATTAATTATTTTATTGAATAATATGTATTTGAGAATAAAACGTTAAGCAATCACTTTTTTTGTTATTATCAGGGAACCAGTGGTCTTCCCGGAGTCCGTGGAGAACCTGGACCACAAGGATCAGCCGTACGTATTGAATATGACTTTCTGATTTGACTAGTTCTTCAGTAGAGTCATATTGCTTCCTGTTATAATTCTAAGTACAATTTGACGTTACTTGTATTACACTGGTAGGGACCAAAAGGACAACAAGGTCCTAAAGGAGTAACAGGATTCAAGGGTGACACCGGACGAGTTGGACGGCCGGGACCCAAGGGAAATCGTGGTGATGCAGGCTTTAAGGCAAGTTCATCAATTAGTAACGTCTGCTTTTTGCCTTCCGTTTCATTTATGTTAAATGAGGAAAGACAAAGCAATTCAAACAAATGCCGTATAAATTAATTATTTTCTCTGTCATGTGACATTTAGGGCGATAGAGGAAGAGCAGGTTCGGCGGGAAAGAATGGCACAAAAGTAAGTTATGCCTGTCAATGGATATTGATTTGAATCTTCCAATCGTGAGCTTATTTTGTCTTCTGTTTCAATTGTAAAAGGGCGCTGCAGGTGCAGTTGGAGAACCAGGAAATGAAGGACCACGTGGGTTCATGGTACGTTAACACAACAATTAACTTTCTATTGTATTTACTTATTCAGTTGGTCCATTATGTTTTTACATGCCATAATATATTCTACTTGAATATTGAATTTAAGCGTTAAGTATTGATATTCCAATTGATTGATCTTTAGGGAAATGTAGGAGTAATTGGAGACAGAGGACCTTCTGGTCCCCCGGTAAGTATTGGCACTTTTGCTAAAAAGTCTTGATTAGATTAACCGTAACATGTCACTTGCAATCGACATAGTTTAGGTTTCCATGGTAACAGGTTGACAAACCACTTCGGCTTTACGACTTGTCATGCTAACAAGAGGTCCACACGTTTTGATCAGCACACAAACACTGATAAGCTCTCAAATACTTATTAGCTACAAGCATCTATCTTCACCGCTCATCCGAACTTCGTTATATACTATCTGGCCAACTCAATTACGTAATGATTGTATACGTCATTAAAACATTCTAGAAAAATACCGAGTCCAGAAACGTCTTGAAACATAGAAAGTTCTAGAAACATTCATTCTAGAAACTTCGAGAAAAACCTTATGTAACCTAATCTACATAGAAAGTTAAGGGATAGAGAGAGAGAGAGACAAAGAGACTTTTGAAGTTGTGCTCCGGGGACATCCCAACATGTACTGCACAGTTGCTACTGTACCGTGGTGATTAGCAATGGCAAGACAAGAAAGTCGGACTACACTGGATATGAAAGTTAAATGGTAAAAATCCAAATTAAAAATCCAAAACAATCAAAAATTACCACATTAACTTTGACACATTACTTCATACATAATATTAGTAGTGACTGCGAATGGGCAAAACAACGAAATGGGAATGGAGTATCCAAAAAACGTTTGGAGTTTGGAAGCTGGTAAGCCGAGTGGGATTTGTAAAGACATTTGGGTTGGAAATGGGATTGACAACCCTTCCTCCCTCCCCCCATATTCAGGACCTTTCACTCTTCATTGAGGACCGATGATTTTACATTTTTCATATTACAGGGACCTCAAGGATTACCCGGTACTCAAGGTTTGCCTGGTCAACCTGGTGACAAGGGAGCCGGTGGAGAACCTGGTTTGGAGGGAGAGCGTGGTATACAGGTAAGCAGTTTAAATGATGTGCTGATCATTAAGCGTACATGTATATGATTATTAATATTACTTTTCCTTCAGGGACTTCCCGGCCCCCAAGGTCCAGTTGGAGTTGCAGGAGAAGCCGGACAACCCGTAAGTGAAATAACGTAATGTGGAAATTATATAGAAAATATTATGATCCGGGCTTTTCTTGATCGTCACTGATTCAAGCTATGACTAGTTGCGAACAACGAATTCCTATTGAACCTGGGCTACTGACTGGACAATTATTGTTTCCCGCGCGCTTCCCATACGTCCTTGTTAGTTGTGGATAGAACGATTAATTTGTTTACTCACCCTGACGATGAGTCATTGACCCAAAACCTTGAGATCTTAGTAACGAAATTCAACAAAGAACAAACGAAAACGTACTTGAAATTATGCTTCAATAAACACTAGGTAAAATAGATTAAAACGTATGCATTTGAGGCTGGTAAACAGAGGTATTTCTTTTTGATGTATATTATTTTCTTATAGAAATTTATTATGAACTTTATAGATTCGAACTTTATTATAATCATGAGCTTTACTATAGACGAGTATTTTTTTTTCGAACCGATTGGCGTGATTTGATTTCACGACTGCCATAATTTATGTTTGCTCATGATTTTGAGATGGCGAGCCAATCAACTGGCAGATACTCTAGTATAGTCTTGCTATTACAGATAATTTAATGTAATAGTTAATTAGTAGTGCCCAGGCGTTCATTGAAATGACTCTACTTGAGCAATAATTTTATACGGATAGCAATTGTTTATCTTAATAAAATTATGCTAAAAGACTAACCATATTTTTTCCTTTCTGGTATCTAAAAATCTCTGCCCGTGGTCCGGTATCCTGACGCAAGGCTTACGTCATCCAAACTATAGAAAAACGGATTGTTAAACAACACGAATTGCAAAACAAATAGAAAAGTAAATGGGAAAAAAATAAATAAGTTATTTACCGGCCTAAAGTCGGTCCGGATAGGGTAAAACGGTGTCCTTGGTATTAAAAAATGGACCTCGGTCGGTATATTTAAAACATATATATATACCTTTTCTCTTTAGGGCGAGTCTGGACGAAATGGAGAACCAGGCCAGAAGGGAGCGAAGGTACGTTATTCTTGAGTGCATCGAGAGTTCTTGAATCACTTGATTTTTGCATTAATTCAATCTAAATTATAACTTTTGTCGTTATATTAAGAACTATAGTATCTGTTTTTAGGGCCCACAAGGAATAGCAGGGCCACAAGGACGACCAGGCGCCCCTGGTAGACAGGTATATAATTGATAATGAAACGCATTTTAGTATTATTCTATTATCTTACGTAACCCAAAGGGTAAATGAAGAAACTTTATTTCCATCTTTTTAGGGTAATCCAGGAGTCGATGGACTTGCTGGATCACGTGGAAAGAGGGTATGTACGTCACATGATTACAATTACATATCGCATATGAATAGGTCAACTATTCAGTGGAATAATGTGATTTATGATTTTGATTAACAGGGAGAACCAGGGAGAGCTGGACAGCGAGGTTTGCCTGGAGCATCTGGTGACAGAGTAAGTCAATTGTACATTAATCGGGTGTATGGGAGAGAGAGAGGAATGGTGACAGAGTAAGTCAGTTGTACATTAATCGGGTGTATGGGAGAGAGAGAGGAATG